CTGGATTGATACCAGGGGTTGCCCCGACCCAGGTGCAGGACCTTGCACTTGGCCTTGTTGAACCTCATGAGGTTCACACAGACCCACCTCTCCAGCCTGTCAAGCTCCCCCTGGATGGTGTCCCATCCCTCTAGAGTATCTTACGCTCTCCTTTGAGGAGCTGGTGGTTGTGCTCACAGCCCGAGGCGATGGCAGCACCCCGTACCACTGTCTGAGCACCACTGACGCTGCGCAAGGTCTGGGACACCCTCCCCGAGCTCCCGATCCCACGCGTGGCTCCGCGGTGCCGGGAACAGCAAGCGCTGAGGCAGAAGCGGCCAGAGTTCAGCACAGCAGAGGCTGCCCAGGAGCTCACCTGGGCGCTGATCCGGGCCACGAGGAAACTCTTCCTGTTGTCCAGCATGGATTTCTCCAGGAGACACTCCTGCGCCTGGCCCTGCCGAAGGCAAGCGGGGAACACTCGGTTTCTCCTACACCTTGGGACACCCCCCTGCATCCAAGCCAGCGCCAGGCCCCGACCCCTGGCAGAACCCACCAGCTACAGCCCCTTTCTCGAGGGGTCAGTGGAGCGCAGTAAACACCAGCCCCAAGGGGATGCCCGAAGAGCCGGCTCCAAGCGCTTGGACTCAGCGAGGAGCACCCAACCCTACAAACACCCCTCTCCCGGTCGAGCGGCAGCTGCCCTCGAGGTGTGCGAGGAGCCATCCCAGCGTGACCAGTGCCCCAGCGGAGGCAGAACCCAGCTCCTACCAGCATGAGGTTGATGTTGAGGTTGAGGATCTGGTGGCTCATGTCTACGCTGTAGGAGTGGGGGAAGTGATCCCGCAGGTACGTAAACGCCCCGGCAGCGCACTGGAAATGGGTGCAGGAAACCTTCATGCCCTGAGAGGACGGGAGAACGCGTGTCAGGCGTGCACAGCCCTCTTGCACACATGCCAAGCCAGCCGATGTCCGTAGGCACGTGCTGCCGGACGCGAGGCATTTGCGGAGACTCGGCAAGACTGGAAAAGCAGTGACCTCCCTTCACACGGGGCGTTAGGGTGGTAAACCCCAGCTCAGCAGGGGTTAGGTGTTCCCTGCCTCCTCCGAGACCCCAAAAAGCAGCCGCCACAAGCCTGGGGCGAGTTCCTGGGGCTCAGAGGGCTCTAAACAGCTCGGTGCTTTCCCCTGGCCGTGCCACGCCCCAAGCTGCGTCAGATCTCTCCCCTCCTGGCCCTCCGTGCTGAGGGCGGGAGGAAGGTCAGCCCGGCCAGCAAGCAGGCAGAGCCTCGCTGGAGCAGGGACGGCAACGATGGGGCAGGGAGGGACACAATCATAAGGAGGTGGCTCCTCGTAACACTTTACAACGATACTAGGTCACAGCAGACATCCAGAGCTGGTGGCTGACGTAGAGACGCTTGTAACCACCCAGGTTACAGAGGAGAAGTCCTCGACGCTACCGGCTCGTGGCTGTTAAACACACGGGAGAGAAAAGTCATTGAGGGAGCAGCCACGGGATCGTTACCTCCTCGGACACTCTCTTGTCCATGGCGCCCAGCATGGAGTGCAGCGCACCTGCGGAAAGAGGAGGGTGGCTCAGCAGGGCGAGCACGCCCTGCCAGCCCCACTCACCGCTCCCGGAGACTGGGGGTCTTGTACCAGGGAAGCCTAAATCTGCGGCAAGTCGGCCACAGCCACCCAGCAGCAGCCAGCTGGCTCTCTGTGCCAGCAGGGAACCGTAGCACTCGGGGCACCCGTCTCGGAGGGCACCCACACGCTGCAGTGCCCTGCGAAAAGACTGCGCACGCAAGTCATCCAGCACAGGAAAGTCCCAGGCTGGAAACAAACCCTAAATATTAAAAAGTGAGTATCTAACGCCCTCCTGGTTTAACAGACACGTTTCTACTGACTTCAGGGAGCAGCCGCCTCTCGAAAGGGGCCGGGGCACCACATCAGCTCCTGCTGTGCAGCGTGCGGCCCTGCAGTGCGCGGGGTTTAAGCTAAACCTGCGCAGGGTCGGCTGGGAGGGCGCGGTCAGCTCCCGAGCTGCAGGGAAAGGGGCAGCCGCGATGCCAGGGATGGGAGTGTTTTCAGCTGCATTAAGTGTCCAGGGGCTGAGCGTCACCTGCCCTTTGGGGCTGCCAAGAAAACCCCCACTCTGAGCCGTGATTGACCGTGGCTGGAGAGCGAGGGTCGGGGGACGAGTGTTAGATTGGATGTTTTTACGCCCATTTGCTGCTTTTGAGGAGATGGGATGCTGGATGAGCTGGACAAAGCCCGGCTGCGGCTGTCACCGTGCCAGAAAGGGCATTTGTAACGCCACAACCTGATGTCGTCAGCCTCCTCGGTGCAACCTCTGGCCAAGACGCAGGGCAGCGCACGACCAGGGCGCGCTCAGACCAGGAGGAAAGGAGACGAGGCTTCTGACAAAAGCCAAAGTCAACCTCTCGTGCAACTCCAACACTGAGCACCCAGCCCCGCAGGCAGCACAGAGGAGGGGAAGACGCACAACCAGGCTGAGCCACGGCTGCTGGTGGGACCAGGCGGGCCGTGCTGCTGCCTGGCCGCTCCGAGGAAGGCTGACACGGAGCTCAGAGCAAAGGCTGGGCAGAGAGGGGGGGACATCCCTCGCGCTCAGGGCAGAGCAAGAGGGCAGCCGGTCTCCCAGGCCCTTACCCAGGTTGTAGAGGATGCACGCCTGCTCATACTTGATGTCCTCATGAGTCACCGTCTTGCCTGAGAAGATCTCAGTCCTGCGAGGAGAGAAGCCTGGTCACCAGATGTAGATGGAAGTACCGGTGTTCCTGGGCACGGGCCACATGCCAGGAAAAGGATTTGTCAGGAGATGCACTCCCTCAGAGGTTCGGAGAAGGGGCCCTCCTGCCTGGCGTCACCCTGTGCATCGAATCAAGGTGCCAGAAGTGCTGGGAGCTGGTGGGATGACGCGTCTCCACACAGCAGGCTTATTTTGGCTTTGTAAGCCCACAGACACCCCGTTTACACACAGCCAAGCAACTCTGCCACCCCGGGGAATCTCAGCACCGTCACCTTGCATGGCGACACTGTCCTGCCTCCGCCTTGCGTCTCCTCAGAGCCAACTACTGCCTCACGTTGACTGATGGCTCAGCTTAGCCATCCTGACAGATCCTCTGCTCTGCAGAGGGACCTGGACAGGCTGGGTCGATGGGCCCAGGCCAACTGTACGAGATTCAACAAGGCCAAGTGCCGGGTCCTGCACTTCGGCCACAACAACCCCATGCAGCGCTACAGGCTGGGGGAAGAGGGGCTGGAAAGCTGCCCGACAGAAAAGGACCTGGGGGTGCTGGTCGACAGCCAGCTGAACATGAGCCGGCAGTGTGCCCAGGCGGCCAAGAAGGCCAA